GTCCCTGCTGGGTACAGCCCCAAATGCTGGTACCTGTCTGCACACTGCAGGAGTTTATCTGAAGGGTGCTGAGATGAACCAAGTAAGGCAACTGGGTGTGGTTTTTTTTTTTTTTTTTAAAGATGAGGTATAAAACACACAGAATGAGGAGAAAAAGGTAGGAAAAGCAGCTCTGAGTCAAGCACTAAATGGATCTGCATTGGAAGAGATTCCAAAGCAGTGTTCTGCAGAGCACAGACACAGCCAGCACTGTTGGGTCCTTCTCCACAGACCCAGGGTGGAGCACACCCTCCTTCCATCATCGTCACTTTTCCCTCAGTTGCAGCAGAACAAAACTGACTCAGTTCTTCAGTTTCACAACAGCTCGCTGAGCTTCCAGTAAATTAAGTGAAAATTTAACAATTTACATCCTTTTGTTGTCTGGGAAAGTACAAGAGACCGTGGAGTAGCTTGTAAAACTGTTTAGTGACAGCTGCTTTTGTGGGAAGGCAAAACACTTTTTGAGATGAAAGCCAGGTTTTGCAGAGGTTTATCCATGCTCCTGCTCTGGGAGAACACAACCTACAGATTCTACACAATTTACAGGGCTGAGAGGGACAGGAGAAGCACAGGCAAGAGATCCACTACCAAGCTGGACTTTATACCCCTGGAGATGTGGTAACAGGTCAGCAGCAGACCAGGAGAACTTCACTTGGGTTCAACCACAACCCTCTGATGCAGCAGATGGGAGCACACAGCCAAGCCCAGCCATCAGAACAGGGATTCTGAGACTATTCCACAGCAAGCAGGATGATCATATGATGCTGGGCTCACTTACATCCCAGCAGTGAGGCACTCGGAGTGGTTTGAGCTGTTTTTGGTTTCTGCTGGAGCCAAGGCACAGGGGACAGCCCAGCAGCACCTCGTGATCCCCACCACACTCGGTGGGTTCCAATCCCAGCTCTGCTGTGTTACATCACAAGCTGGAGTAAAACAGGCCCGGGAGAGGAGAGGCCAGAAGGAAAAGAAAAAAGGTTCGTTTGCATTCCAGTGGCTCTCCCAGGGGCCACGGTCCAGCTCTCCCCGTGACCACCGTGACCACCGAGCGCTCAGCTGTGCCAGGGCACCGGCCCCTGGGTGAAACCTCTCTTCTCCCAGCTCCATTCAGGCCTCATTCACTGCTCAGAAAAGATTCTTCCCGAGGCATTTCATCAAAAAAAATTAAATAAAAAAAGAGTCTTTAAAAACACCCGTGGTTAACGAGCAGTTTGTCCTTTCACAGACACAATGTGGGCATGTTCAAACCCGGACCCACGGCCCAAAGGTGACTCTTTATCCTGTCAAACATCACCTCAGCAGGACATCAGCTGCTGGGGCATTTTCTGAGATGTTTCCTCATGGAACAGCTGGTCCACACAAAAAAAACACACGTGTGTTATGTAAAAATAACACCCTGGTGGCAATGCTGAGGAGCAGGGACACCCCAAGCAATGAAGTGACCCCAGAGGTACCACAGGATTTGGGAGCTCTCCCTCCACACTCCTTCCACAGTTCTGCAAATATCCTGAGAGTTCAGTCCACGTGAAAAGATGGGAAAAGCAAAGTCCTGGTGTTTGGCTGCTGGAAGGTCCTTTGAAGTCTGTTCCCTCTCTCTGAATGAATCCCGTTGCTGCCCCAGCTCTCCCAGTTGCCCCAGGAGGTGGAATCGTAGCTTGGGAAACCACACACAATTTGGGGGATTTCCACAATGCCCAAAAAAATGTAAATTTTTTTCTCCATTTGAGATTCACACTGAAATGAATTCTCCCTGTGCTGCTTTTTAAAGGAATATGTAACAAAGACTTCTTTTCAGCCAATGCTTGGTCTTCCAAAAACGTTCCAGAGCTTTTTTCATGCCCAAAAGTAGCGGCCTCCAAATGCAATGCAGAGACAATGTGCGACCTCCAGCAGCATAAGGAAAAAATAAATCACTTAAAAACTAAAAAAGAACAAAGTATTTTTCTGTTAAGACTCTCTATTTGCAAATGTAACACCAAACCAAGGACATGGTGTTTTATCAATCTTCAGGGATTGCAAAGATTTCAATGAAAAATATATCAGTGAACTGAAGAGCCAGGGGGAAACACCTAAGCATAAGAAAGTAACCTCTGTAAGAGTAAACAGAATTCTCTTGTTTCTTCTTGTCCATTGACAAACTTTTTAAATTCAAGAAATAATGCGGGGTTAAAAACAGGAAAAAATGGGATTTCTGAGTTCATAGCAGGAAATGAAGAAGAAAGGCAAGACCAAAGTTCTACTATTTCTTAAGCACTTAAAAGGAACAGTAATGAGAAACAGCCAGTCCTAGGAAAAATCCTACTTTAATATAGAAAGTTTAATTTATTTATCAAAACATTCTTATTTTCTTCTCTCTTTTCAAACACTAAGCTTTTAATAGCTCTTTAATGTACATACTTTGGCTCTGACTCTTTCTCCCCTCCCTGGAGAGACCTTTTAAAGAGATCTCAATTTCCACTTAAATAGAAGCAATCAATAATAAAATACGTCAGTAACATTAAAAAGTATTATTGTCCAAGAGCAAACCAAGAAATCTTTCACAGCCATTTTATATTCTGTGCTTAAATGTGTACAGATGACACCTTTCTTGCTATCAAAATTAAGTGCAAGTCGCAGTGAGTGGACACCAGGCAGCTTCTTTCAAAGTTTATTTAAAAACCAACAAATGAGAATTAACCCAGGAAATAATTAGAAAGGAAAATTAATAAGGTGTCCTGCTTGCTGATTTCACTCATTGACACAAGTTTAACTTCAACACCTTTTGACCAAGGCCAAGTGCAGGATCTGAGCACAGAGTCCATCCCAGTGGGGTTAATTCTGTGGGATTGGTAAGAACTTTCCCAGATGTATTTGTGACAAGCCCTCTTCCTGGGCAGCTCCTGCAGCAGGGCTGTAACAGGTGGGAACACAGGAGGCACTTTCAGCTCAGGGTTCAACTCCCAGCTACCACACACAGCCCTTCAAAGACTCTGAGACCAGATCCTTCCCTGCCTCATTCCTCACCAGCAGCACACACAGCACACCCTGAGGAAACCAGCCCAGCCAGGAGTGCAGCCACTGCTCCCTCCCCGAGCTGTCCCAGGGCAGCAGAGCCACTGCCAGCTGTCACTGCGAGCTCAGGGACGAGGCCACCAACAGCGACCACAGGGACAGCACAACGCTCACCCAGAGCCTGCCCTGCTCACAGAAACCTCCCACGGGCCCCCAGGAATGAGCCGGCACAACCAGCACAGGGAGCCAGCTCCCTCAAACCCTGCCTGAAACCAGACACAGATCGTTCTACTCCAGCCCTTACCTAGAAACTAGAGCCTGAAGGAGTTTAAATTCAACCCACTGCAGGTGGAGACCACAGCGAAGACACAAAAGGGGTTTTGAATCTCAGCCTTACACCAACCTGACAGCTGAGCCTGCTGAAGCATCCATCCCACGCCAGCGTGCCTTGAGAACGAGCTCACTTTCCTCCTTGGAGCTCTGAGCACTGTGGCACTGCCACACAGCCTGGTGTCCCCAGCACAGTGAGGGCTCTGTCACCTGCCATAGCACACCTGGGTGTCCCCAGCACAGTGAGGGCTCTGTCACCTGCCATAACACACCTCGGTGTCCCCAGCATCATGAGGGCTCTGTCACCTGCCATAACACACCT